CACGCACCATCTCATTTCCAGCAACAAGGAAGGATTCTTGAAGGCTAAAGAAGCTGCAAAATCCATCCAAGAAGCAACAAAAGTTTTGAATCTTCAAGGTAAGTAACACTTTTACCCTTTTGACCCTTTTTCTTGATTTATTTCTTAAGCCGCTCCACACTTGCTTTTTGTTTCAAGCTCCGGCCCTAACTGAAAAGGGGCCTCTTTTGCGCTCATCTTCACTTTTCATTAAGGGCTCAACCCTGTTTGAGCCCTCCATGACACACTTGCTTCATTGACCCTCTTGTATGTCATAGTTTTGCATGCTATTTTTGGCCCATGAGCAATTTATTTTCGAGCATGTTTTAAACTGATATTAGGCTTATTTTGAGCCCCTCTTCAACATTGAAGAAGGATTCAACACCATTTGGGACTTCCATGTTATACCTACCCTTATACTCCTCTTTTCTTCCCCATTCTTGCATACAATGGCAGCCTACCATTCTTACGGTTTTGGCCATTTTACATTTCTTAAAAAGTGTTTATTTTAGTCCATTATTCATGTTTTGTTTAGGGTCTTTCATGGTTTGAGACCCCCATAAGCCACTTCATGTTATATCTCACTTTTGGTTCGTTTTCTTGCATGTTTAGTTAGCCTACCATGCTTTTGTTTTCAGCCATTTTACAGGCATATAGATAGTCTTATTTTGGCCCATACTTCATGTTTGATTAAGGGTCTTTGGCTTTTTGGTGATTATTTGGTATACTTCATGTTTTAGCACCTTTTGAGCCTCATTTTGCATCACATTTTTAGCATATATGTATACTGATTTTGAGGCTGTCATATACTGTAAATGTTCATATTTTTGGTCCATATTCAGTGTTGTAGAAGGAAATTTTTCGGTTTGGGTTTTTCTTATGCCACTTGCTTCATTACCCCTCTTTTGGCCCCTTTTCTTGCATGCCATTTTTACCATACCTATGCTTGCTGTTTGGCCATGTTCATAACTGTAAAAGTGCATATTTTGGGACTGTCTAGCTTCTGTCTTTGCATTGCATGTCCACATTGTGCATGTTTAGCATAGCTATAGGCCATTTCGGGTGCCTAAATTCACATTTCGGGACATTTCCTTGCATTTCGTGTCATTTCGCTTCATTTCGGGACTGTTTTCCCCCATATTTTGTTGCTGAAATTCTATTAGCATGCTTGCATATCATTTTTGCCATGTTTCATCATATTTTGTCGTTGCCTCGGTTTGCGTGCATGTGTGCACGCATTTCGAGGCACCTCATTTTTATCCGACGGCATCCTATGTGAGTGTGGCTGAGGCTCACTCATGTGGGTATAAGCCCATTTGTCATTTCCATGTCATTTGCGTTGCATTTGTCACCGCCTCGGATTGCGTGCCCGCGTGCACGCATTTCGAGGCACCTTTTTTTTATCCGACGGCATCCTATGTGAGTGTGGCTGAGGCTCACTCATGTTGGTATAAGCCCATTTGTCATTTCCATGTCATTTGCATTGCATTTGTCACCGCCTCGGTTTGCGTGCCCGTGTGCACGCATTTCGAGCCACCTCTTTTTTTATCCGACGGCATCCTATGTGAGTGTGGCTGAGGCTCACTCATGTTGGTATAAGCCCATTTGTCATTTCCATGTCATTTGCATCACATTCTGCAGTCACCTCGATTTGCGTGCCCGTGTGCACGCATTTCGAGGCAATTCATTTTTCACCCATCGGCATCCTATGTGAGTGTGGCTGAGGTTCACTCATGTTGGTATAAGCCCATATCATGTCTTCATGTCATTTGCATCACATTCTGCATCTGCCTCGGTTTGCGTGCCCGTGTGCACGCATTTCGAGGCACCTCATTTTTATCCGACGGCATCCTATGTGAGTGTGGCTGAGGCTCACTCATGTTGGTATAAGCCCATTTGTCATTTCCATGTCATTTGAATTGTATTTGTCACTGCCTCGGTTTGCGTGCCCGTGTGCGCGCATTTCGAGGCGCTTCATTTTTATCCGACGGCATCCTATGTGAGTGTGGCTGAGGCTCACTCATGTTGGTATAAGTCCATATCATGTTTCCATGACATTTCATCGCATTCTATCATCGCCTCGGTTTGCGTGCCCGCGTGCACGCATTTCGAGACACATATCATCGCCTCGGTTTGTGTGCCCGCGTGCACGCATTTCTAGGCACCTCATTTTCAGCATTCCGTCATTTTCTCAGTTCGCGTGCCCGTGTGCACGCATTTCGAGACATGCCATTTCCTCGGTTTGTTTGCCCGTGTGCACGCATTTTGAGGCAACTCATTTTCATAGCATTTTGCCATCGCCTCGGTTTGCGTGCCCGCGTGCACGCATTTCAAGGCGCCTCATTTTCATTACATTCATGTATTTTCTCGATTTGTGTGCCCGCGTGCACGCATTTCGAGGCATGTCATTCCATACCATTGTGTATGTTAAGATTGTATCTTAATTGCATTTTCATGCATATCATGCATATTGCATCGTGTTCGGAATAGGAGTTAGTCTGGGCACGGGAAGCGAGGTACATTTCGTACTCCGAGTGACGGAATGTGTCTCAATTCCCCAGTCACCGACACTCCGGATTATCCATGATGGAGTTAGGTTTTAGCTGTAGTTTCATGTGCATTCATCCTATATTGAGTTGTGCATTTCGACTCCTCGGCCATCATGCCTCGGTATGCGTGATTGGTGGCACGAGGATCGAGACATGCATATATCTGTGCAAATACATTGCTATGCCCCTTATGGCCAATTATATGAAGGAATTTTGCAACTTGTTCTTCTACTTTACTTTGAGGATTGTCTCTAAGAAACTGAGTTCTTTTAAGCATGCTAACTAGTGTGGCAAACGCATCTTTGCTCATGCGTAACTGGCTACGACAATCTGCATCTTCCAAAGTCGTTAGCCGTTTAATTAGGGCATATCTTTCATAATCTCCTTGTTCTGAAATTGACTTCCTTATATGATCACGACAATGAAGAATTGAGACAAGGCTGACAGCATATGAAGCATACATAGCTACACAAGTGGCTGCCCACTTTCTATACTTTTCCCACTCCTCTTGATCATTTATCTACAATTTTTTAATATAAAAAATCACATCCACTTGTTAATAATGTTCCAGAATTGAAATGATACTTCAAAAAGTTCATAGACTAGGCAACACTCAAAATGACAACCCATTTGATTGGTTAACTTGAAGCATGTAAAAATGAATAGGAGACAACAAGTTGATGCAGAAATATGAATTAATAGGCCTACTTTATCTTTTTTATATGGTGTTACATTTGAATTCTTCCTTGGTCAAATGGTAAACTATTTGGATGTTAATCAGGAAAAAACTCCAAGTGCTAATCAGGTACCAGGTCTTATGTATTAAGTTGCTAAACTATATTATTCCAAAATAAATCCAAGAATCAACCGTAGCATTAAGTTTAAAAAAATCTATCATGAACTCATAGAACTATTAATTTGTTTGTGCAGGAAATCGTGATTGAATCAGCAGCAACAGAACCAAAGACAAATTGAAGCACAAACTCAGAAATAAATAAGAAGCTTGTCCTATTCAAATCAGAGTTTAATAGTTCTAGTTTATGTATTGATATTGTATTGTTTCTACTTTAATGCTGGAAAAAACTCAAAAAGATTGGAATAGTAAAAGGCTAAATTGTGTACAGGTATTGAGCTGTCTTAGTGGGCACATCTGTCACTCTTGTAAAACTGAATTAATGTAGAAGTGTAGTTTTCATTAGTTGTCATCCATCTATTGCTTAAGCTATGATTAGACTTATAATGAATTAAACAAGATGTGTGTATCCCTCCTCCCAACAGAAAAGGAGAAACAACAAACATATGGATCCAAACAGAAAATGGCATTGGCAGTGAAATACATGAGCTAAACATTGAAATTTCCATCTTATAAAGAAGAGTAAAATAAAGGATACAAATGTCATACAAAGGCAGCACAATAATGAACCCCACTTATTGTCGTAGTATCACTGCAATCTCTATCTTGGCAGTCTTCTCAAGCATTCTAAGCAGGAAAGGAAGCTAATGGATTTAATCCTAATAAAGGCTTCATAAATGCCTAATTCAGGATCACTTGTGAAGATGAAAACTGCACACAGTGCTACAACCAGTGGTGGACCCAGAAATCATTAGTAGAGGTGCGATGTTAACTCAAAATTAAAACAGTGAATTTGTTACGAAATGAAAACAGAACCATCAAATAGTAATGACATTAGCAAATTCTCCAATATGACAATAGTCATTTATCAAAAATGAGGCATTCAAATGCTTGCAATCAACGAAAAAGGTCCAGTTAGACCGTTAAAGGAATGTGTGTGGGGAGAACACAAAATAACCTCAAACTCATCAAGGAAAAAAAAAAACTAAAAAGAATACAACTTCTAAGCCTTGAGGAACCCTAAGCACGTTTTAAAATTCTGACTTCACCATTGTATGCACTATTCTAGTAATGAAATATGTTTAATTTGCCTGTGATGGTTGAAATAATGAGAAGTTTTCTTACCTAAATGAATGCTTTCTTCAATGACAATGATATCCACTCCAAGAATTCATGTTGGTTAATTATAAACTTTTTTTGGTTATTGGAGGAAAGAGGAAGTCAAATCTGTAACCTCCTAATGAGATACTATACCAATATTTTTTAAATTTATTTTTTCATTTGTTTATTATTATGTTCATAATAGATTAGGGAGTTGTTACTTAATGATGACATGAAGAGGGGCCTCCAAAGCATTATATATATCTGAACTTCCTAGATTGAGAAGCAATCCTAATTCCTAAAACATTTAAATTTAAGAGAAATATTATATGTTATTAATTTTTTATATTTTTTTATCGCTTATGTGAATATTTATGCATTAGTTCTTTGTTTAGAAATTATCATTAAATAAATATTGTAAATGAATAATACCTTATCATGCATTCTCGTAATATTGAACAATAAAAAAAAAATCCCAATATTATATTGTATGGCTTACATTGTACACAACTTGAAATTCTCTATAATACGTGAAATGATCCATGAACAAGTCTTTTGTGCTTTTCGGTTTGAAAGTCAATTTAAAAATGATTGATGTGTTAAACGCATTTTAATAACAGTGCTAGAGTGAGATTTCTAACAAAAAGAGTTGTTCTATTTTAGGCTGAAAGTTAGTTTGAAACCAAATGGCACAGCAAAACTTAATTGGTTGACATGAAAAACACAACTCTTTTCTAAATTGAAAATTAAATGTGTTCTTTCTAAGTTATGGTTTTTTGTAATATTCTGGGTGAAACATCCACACGAGTAAATAAAAATAAGTAAAAAGTAATTCATGAAATAAAATATTTTTGTTTTGATGTGCATCATTTTTCCCTATAAATTATGAGACCATTTGTAAGTATCTTTGGCATTAAGAAGCACTTGTATGTAACAGATTGCTTTATTGAATGTAATGATTGTGATACCTATATGCCTCAAAGTGAGATTGTCGTTGTTCAAAAATTGAAGCTAAATTTTTTGACACAAATTACAAGTACTGCTCGATTGAATATTAAAGGGTATTTTGGGTTGCATTTTGATATCAATAGTCATTGTGAAATGTACATCATGCAATGATAATTATCAACAACAAAAATGCATTAATTCCTGATCGAAAACGAAACTGTGTATGTATATTACTAAACTGTGCATATAATCTATGGGTAATTCTATTACTCTGAACAAATCCATGTATCTATAATCTCTAATTCGTAATAAAATATATATATATATATATATATAGGTGTGTGTGTGTATGTATGGAATTTTCAATACAGATCTGAGTTTGATGAGAGGAGAAGAGAAAACGAAAAAGGGGCACCAATACCTGATCGAAACTTTCGGGCAATGAATTATCAATCGTGTTTAGTGATTGAAGATCACCAATTGAAGCAGATGATGATCCCCGATTGGAGCGATTTTCTGAATGATGCTACGAATCAGAAATTCATACCAGAGTTAGATCTGCGATTTCACTTCGAAGCAAAATTGTAAAGCAACTTGAACATAAATAAACAAATTGGTGGAAATCAATAGAGATCTGAGTTTGATGAGAAGGTAAGAGAAAATGAAAGAGGAGCACAAATACCTGATCGAAAAATCCAGGCAATGAATCTTCAATCGAGTTCATTGATTGAAGATTACCAATTAAAGCAAATGATGATCCCTGATTGGAAGGGTTTGCTGAATGATTCTGCGAATCAGAGTTTGCTACCGGAGTTAGATCTTCAAAACTCGTCGATGGTGGTTTTTTGAAGCTACTCATGAATGGTTTCCTGCGAGAAGCCATGAACAATGAAACTCTCTCTCCCCGATAAATTTTTCCCCTCAGTTTTCCCAGTCTTTTCTCACAGATATAAAATAGAATTGATGTCCTAAAAGGTCTCCTATTTCTTTATTTATTTCTGACCCCCTTTCTTTTCCCATATATTTTTTATTATAACCAAACATAAATAGGATTACATTTCTCATTCCTTTTCCAAATCCCACCCCAAAAATCCCAACCAAACACAGCATTAATGAGATTCTCCATTTGTTGTTTCCACCGTTGGTAGTTGCTTCCGGAGAGAAGGTCGTGGACGTAGACCTGCATGTTAACGCCCACGGGATATGGGTACGTCGGCTTCTCCTGCTCCTCCTTCTCGGTGGACGTGATTGAGTATTCCATTGACGGAAGATAGTTTGAGCTAATGATCTTGCAAAATGTCTAATGCAGTGGAGATTAGGAATTTTTTAGTGTCTCTCGCAGTTGTGATTAGACCTTCTACCCAAATTGCATATAAATAAGGGTAACACAAACTAACGTTGTTAACTTGTTTTTTTTTCAAGTGATTTTTTTTTTAGATAAAAAATTTAGTATTTTCCATAATTTTTTAATTAGATAGATAATTGTGGGAGGAAAAAAAAAGTGAATGATGTGATATTTTAAATTTTTGACTTTTTGTGTGTGTGTGTGTAACTTTTTATCTTTTCTAACCAAAAATATTAACTACCAATTAATTTCACAAAAAAGTTTAGCTTTGGTAAGTTCATTTTAAAATTGATTGTAGCGATTCAATGGATTGCACTTGGTAGGCTCGTTTTGAAATTAATTGTAGGGATTCAAATCATTACACTTTTTAAGATTAGTTGAGTCGAATATTCATATAAAAAATCAAGATGATTGGACATTAGTAATAAGTTTGATATTATATTTGTTTTAAAAGATGGATGACAAATATAATTTCAAAAACAGTTATTTATTTTTTGTAATACAAATTTGATTCAAATATATCGTTACTTTTTTTTTTATCGGCAAAAAAGAAACTTTATTGATGAAAGAATCAAGTACAAAGTACAAAAACAAATTATATCAATAAAGAAAAGGGAAGTGCAAAAGTATCAAAATGAGTTAAATCATCCTAACCAAGGTGGCACTAAAAGCCCATCTTATCATTTGCTAGCACCCCTGAGTTGGTGAGAAACCAACAAAAAAAATAGACCAAACACCACAACAACAACAACAACAACACAGTTGAGCAAACAGACCATTCAACCAAACTCAACCACCCTACTAATGTTGCTACTAGCTGAGTACCCCAAGCAAACACACCAACAACAAATCACACCAGAGTCCATCTCAGACCTATGTATCAGCCAACATATCAAACAGAACAGAAGACCAACAAAACAGACCAGTAATAGAGCTTAGCAGACCACTACCTAAACATAGCAGACAACAAAACAAACCAACAGACCACTACCTAAGCATAGCATTCCAGCAGCAGCCATCAAGATTTGTAGCCTAAGCATAGCTGAGAAGTCAAGAAGCAAAACACCCAAAAAACAGCAGCCAAACTCACCAACAACATAGCACATCAGGAACCATCACAGCAGCAACTCTACTCAGTTCCCATTCCTAATGCAATATTGAACTTGCTAATTTACACTGCTCTCATATGAAGAATTCAACTAATTAAACAGACTGACATATGGATAGCTCAGCTCCCATTCCTAATGCAAAATTTCACAAATATACCTCATCTACAATTTCATAGCTACTTATGTCCGATTATCTTGATTTTTTACACGAATATTCTACTCAATGAGTTCTAAAATGTGAACAGTTCGGATTAACCAAATCGATTCTAAAATAAGCTTACCAAGCTCAAATGCTCACTCAGGTTAAAATGATTGAGAAAAGCCAACCCCTTCACAAAAATGTCCAAAAATATATACTTTCTATCGAAAAGGTTTCGTATATAAATAGAGTACTACATGACACTACATTTCACTAATTACAAATGTATAGATCTCTTATTGTTCCACAAACACCCAACATAAATTTAGTAAACCCTAATGTCAAATCCAATCACAATAATAAAAAGTACCACGTAGATATACCCTATTCGCATGCAAAAATTATTCCTTTCTATCATACTTTAGTTCCTAATTTTTTTATTGCTTTATTTTAATATCTAAAATTATACTATCTATTTGTCAACTATGTATTTTAGCCAAAATTTTAAAAAGTCACTATTAATTATCACATCACTCTCTTTATTTTTCTGCATATCTTTTCATAAAAAATCAAAAAATTACTAAAATAATTTGTTCTCAAACGAGACCTTAATAGTCCCTAAACTTATGAGTGGCTTGGTAATAGACTAAATCAATCAAAAGATTGTTAAAAAATAAAAAAAATTAAAAAGTCAAATAAAAAAGTCCAAGATTTTTTTCCATTCTCTACTTTTGCAAGTTTTTCCATAAAAAATCAACATGCTATTGTGTTAGGAAAAATTATACAATAGTTATAGATTATCGCATGACTATACTCTCTCACCAATCACCATTCATTATACCCTTTCATATTCTTTAATCACCCAATACAATATCTCACTGTAGACGTCCCCGAACGCCCCGGGAGGGATGAGGTCCCGCTCCGTTCGTTTTGGGCTCACTACAGTTCGGACTCAAATTGTCACGATTCTCAATTTGAACCAAAGAGTCCAAATCCGGCAAATCGTTTTTGAAAACAGATTTTTTGTAAAGAAGTGCCAAACATGGATTGCTTTGCCAGATACAGAGTCGCCACCTAAATATTTTATTTTGGGGAAATTTAGGAAACCCTGACTCGTTGCCTAAGGCCACGTGTCCGTCATCACCAAAGTTGCCTCGGCTCGGGAACTTGGGTACGATTGGGGAAGGTCACTTCGTGAGCACCCCCGCTAGCCCGATCAAAGATTGGCCTCTACTAATCATGATATCTAGTTTTGAAAACATTATGCACTCTTATTCCGGTTATTAGCCTAGATTTACTATGTGATACGCACAGCATACAAGTATAGACTGGATCGCCTGAATTGGAACAAAACATTTCATGTTTGTTTTTGAAAGCGGTTTGCTACTCGCAAGTAGGCTTAAAATGCAGATTTTGCCACCCTCGGGTGGGCTTAGAAAACATGATTTTGCCACTATCTAGTGGGCTTAAAACTCACAGTTGATGATTTGTTCCAATCCAAATAACCCAACCTTCACCCACAGGCATTCAGGCAGTTATATCACATAAGCAATTAGCCTCATGGTAAGCATGCTATCATGGCAGTCACTCACACACATGCAAGGATGCTAAAGCATAAAAACTTACCAAGTACTCCAAGCCAAAACAGAAGCTAATTAGAAATCCATGTATGATCCTAACTATACAGCAATGCCTAATGCAACACATGCAAAAAAATGCAACTATAGCGGGCTCGGCTATTCTAAACATGGCATATGAAATGCTACAGCTAACATGTATTCAACTTGGAATTGAAAATACAATGCAGTTAGTATGATGCGCCGAGCCCGGTGCATGCAATACAGATGAATGAATGCAAACATGCTACCATGCTGTATGCTAATTGAAAAATGCCCTAATCTAACCATCATAAGCTGGTAAATAAAAGGGAGAAAGGCGTGAGGTTGGAAGACATACATCACACACACGCACACTTATTACAGTATTGCCCTCGCGCAGAGGGTCCGAATAAATAATACAGTCCCGAATAAATAATTACAGTCCAAATAATTACAAAATCCTAATTAATTAACAAATTAATCTAGGAAAGCAATAAATTGGCACGCAAATCCATGGACTGCCTCAGCTCTGTTCCGAAAGATGGATGATGCATGCTTGAGTCACCTTGCGCGAAAATCCACTGCGATGCCCCGGTTTGCCTCTGTTTGCAATTGTTCTCGGGACGCGTGCCAAGCTCCGGAAGGCTGCCGATTTCTGATTTGCTACAACAAAGAGCAACAAAGGGGCATGGCAAAGTATTTTCACATATGTATGCATGACTACTCTTCAGGGAGTGTAGTCTTCGATTCCCGTGCCACAAATCACGCATCTCGATACATGATGGCCGAGGAGTCGAATTGCACGACTCAATATGAAATGAATGCACATGAAAACACAACAGGGCCTATTCTCCATTATGGATAATCTGGAGTGTCAGCGACAGGGAATTGAGACACGGTCCGTCACTCGGAGTACGAAATGTACCTCGTTTCCCGTGCTCAGGCTAACTCCTATCCCAAGCACTATGCAATATGCATGACATGCATGAATGCAATCCTAGCATGCAACCTAGCATACACAATGCTATGAAATGGCATACACAATGCACGATGTAACGAGGCATACACAATGCTCTAATATACAGCCTAGCATACGCAATGCTATGAAATGAAATGGCATACGCAATGCTATGAAATGAAATGGCATACACAATGCACGATGGACTTACACCAACATGAGTGGACCTCAGCCACACTCACATCAGTGGCCATTAGATGAAAATGAGACTATCAAAATGCGTGCACACATGCACGCAAACCGAGGACCAAACCTAAGGCAACAAATGCCACTCTACCAAAGCATGGCAAGGCATGAAACATGGTATGCAAACATGCCAATTTCAGTGCTGAAATATGATACAAAACAGCCCCGAAACATGGAAACATGGCACCCGATGCATGAGATGAACCCCGAAACTCGAAATTAAGCACATGGAATGACCTATAGCTATACAAAGCATGCATTATTTGATCACAAAGTATGAAGACAGAGGAAAGACAGTCCCAAAACATGCATATTTTAAGTTTATAACAAGTCTGAAAAATGAACACAAATAGGGCTAATCTATCATGCAAAAATGGCCCTAAAAGAGAGATTAAACACAAGGGACAGAAGCCGGCCCCAAATGGCAAAGAGACCTTAAACAAAGTTGAATAGGGGCTCAAAAAAAGGCACTTCACAGTTTACATCAAGCCATGAAAATAATCACAAATAAGGCCAAACTATCATGCAAGAAAAGGCCTAAAAGAGGGGTAAAGAAGCAAGTGGTAGCCTCTGTTCTCAAACAGAGGAGAGACCTTCAACAAAGTTGAAGAGGGGCTCAAAAAAAGATATTTTACAGT